AAAAAAAAAAAAAAAAAAAAAAAAAAGACTATACCTCAATAAAGTTACTTATTGGGGAACATTCAGAAATGCAGACTCCTGGCCCCTCTCCCAAACAATATGAGCTGGCGAGTCTGTAGAGGCCATCAGTTAATTCGAATTTTTAAGAGACCATGACTGACCCTTCAGGCACACAGGCTATACAATGGAAGACCTCTGAGTACTGTGTTGTACGTCCAGTAATTACCAATCACACGTTGTAAAACATATGAATAATCAACTCTGTAATATATTAAACAACAGGAGTTCCAGAAGGAAACTCTATGGACTGAGGTAATTAAGGAAGTAGTCTTCTCATGTTCTACAACTCTTCAGTGGCTCCCATTACCTAGTGCAGTGATTCTCCCCAGAGACAATTCTATTCTGCCCACTCCCCAACATGACATCTGACAATGCTTGCACACATTTCTTCACTGTCACAATCAGGAGCATGTGTTGCTGGCGTCTTAGTGGACAGAGGCCAAGGATGCAAGTAAACATGCTACAATGCACAAGACAACACCCCACCAACAACAGAGGATTAGAAATACCCAACTGTCAGCATTACCAGACTGAGAAATTGATCTGGAACCTCTCCTTGAATGAAGGTAGCAAAAATATTGTCAGGGCCCAAGAGTAAACAAGACCACAGGATTAACACATTAAATCTTTAAGAGGCTATATATTCACTTCTGAACAGAAAAAGAATAGCAGTATCATCACTGAATTCTGCATAAAGCAAACCAGAGTGAAACAAATGTCTTGAGATGTCCCAAGATTTCAAAAACATCAGAATACGGTAAACAGGAGCAGCCTCATGCTATGTACTCTTAATTACAGGGTGTATTTACTCATTCTTTGACAACCTTCAAAGTAGTCTGGAAATTAAGAAACACTGGCTAAAATGAAGTTACATAACATGTAGGATGAGAGCTAAAACCTCATCTTTAGTGGCCACTGTTGAGGCTGAGATTTTTAGTAATACTGGTTACTGTAGAACAGTCTAATCCAGAGTTATTTAAAGTGTGGTCTATAGATCTGTGAATCAGTGTTTGAATTTTATATCAGTTTATGTCAGAGAACTGTAAGCAAAGCAATGCGTTTTTGTTTAGCTGGCAGGACTGAGGATCCAATCCATGGCCTTGCACATGCTAGACTGAGCTACATTCCTACAGTCCCAGCCCCAGCAAGAGAAATTTTTATGGCAGTATGATTTTATGCCTACTGTACCTGATAATAAAAATTGGAGCTTTTATTTTGTCCTCCTTATTCCATCTCCAACTTTAAAGAAAAATGTGCAGTCCTTTGTTACACTGTACAATGGTATCAGTTCAAAATGGACTGGAGAAGAAGGAAGAGGAAGAGGAGATGAAGGAGGAGGGGAGGGGAAGGGAAAGAAGTAGAGGGGAGGAGAGGGGAGGGGAGGGGAGGGGAAGGGCGGGGCAAGGCGAGGCCTTTCATCTGTGTGAGGAGCACTAACCTATCCTGACGTTTGCAGTAGATGTAAAGTCAAGCTCTGGATCCATGTGTAATAAGGCCCATTCTCTGAATCATTGCACCACATTGTATCGTAAGAGTTTGAACTCAACCCCCAATGTATGAAGTCTACCTCTGGAGAAGTGAACTGTGCAAATGGGTCAAAAGAACTTTTTGTGTGTCTGGCCTAAGTCCTATACCACTGAAAACACCAGCTTTCTGCTTTGGTCCTTTTCCCCAGGATCAATCCCAAATTTTGGGACTGTATAGATGATAACGCAACAGAACAAGAAAAGACGAAAAGATCAATTCTCCTTAAGGCTTGAAGTATCACTGAATACAACTATTTTCTTTCTGGGTCCACTGAAGAATAACCTGCTTTCACCAGAAACTGGTCCTACATCTCTCTAACCACAGTGGCATAGTATACAGAATAAATGAATCCAAAATACGAAAAAAGCCTCCAAAACTTAACAGCCTTTACTATCAAATCTTCCTTCTGCCTACCACCACAAAACCCTATGACATGGCATAAAGACCTTAGATATGACCCATCCATATTGCACTTTTCAACCACAATCCTTAGATTAAAACACACACATAGTTGTAAAACAAAATTTAACTCCTTTCAAAATAATCTATACAAAGTGCAGTATCTCGCAATTTTCCATCTTACTGTTTGTCTTTTTTTTTTTAAAGGGCATCAGTAGACATCAAAAAATTTGATTACAAAATCCACTGATGGGTCAAAACCTAGTTTGTAAAACACTACTATAGGATCCAACTGTCCACATTTAACAGCACTCTCTGATCTGATAAGCCACACCCCAAATCACACCATTTTCATACTCTACCCCATAGAAATCCCAGTTTTTTATGTTTCCACTGTACAATAAATGTTATGTTGTCTGCAGTCAAAGCAGCACAGAAAACCAAAATCCTGTTTAGTAAAATGCACAAATTAATGCATCATTAGAGCTAAAAGAAAAAAGTTCGACTTTTAATCAAAAAGTCAAATAGCTTATTAAGTCAAAATGTGCAATATGATTCACTGCAAACAATCCAGTGAAGTAGCAATACTGGCAACTCCCAGAATACAGTGTATAGCAAACATGCATACTATCAAATTATATGTCTGAAACCAACCTGCCCTACCACTGTCTTCACTCTGATGATCTAAACACCCATGCTTCACCTGATTACTCCCATCACTGAGACTTTAAAAGCCCAGATCTAGCTGGACACGGCCATAAAGCTCTAATCCCAGCTACCTGGGAGGCTGAGGCAGGAGTACAGAAAGTGTGAGGCCAGCCTAAGCCATTTAGAACCTCTCTCATTTTTTTTTCAAAGCCTGTGGGCAGAGGGAAAGGGGATGTAGCTCAGTGTGAGGTACTGGGTTTGATACCCAGTACCAAAGGAGGGTGAAAAACCACAGATCAACCCCTTCTTCTTCCTCCTTCCTTCCTCCCAAAACTTGGCTGTTGTACACCACAACCTTTTAAAACTGCCCTAAGGTCTGTCAGGGGTCCTACCAGGTCTCAGAGGCTCCAACAGTTTTTAGTGGAAAACACACATATCAAAACAACTGAGTTTATAAGAAATTTCTGAAAAATCTGATAATCTTTCCTCGGATTATGTACTAAACATCTTATCTCTAAACCAAAATCAGTAACCAAAAAGTGTTAAAACTAAATGAAGACAACATGATCTCCTCTCTATAAATTATCTCCAACACAAAATGAAATTTTAATCAATGAGCTTCAATTCTGCAAGCCTGTGAACACGTTATTTTATCTGGATTGACAGGGTGTGACTGCTTCACACTGTCCCATCACAGAATGATGCTACCAGGCAAACCACCTACGTGGGTTCAAGCCCACATCCACTTCTTGCTCCAGTCAACTCTACCTCCTCTAGCCCCACCCACCGAACAGGGGGTGGAATGAAAGATTATTCCCTGCCCCCACCAATACCATTCCTTGCCGCTCAGAAGAATAAGAAATCCAGGTAGGCCTAAGTAGCTAGGTAACTGTTTATATCCACCTTTCAGTCTACTAGGATTTTACAAATCTCATCCCCACCTGCACATTCAAAGCCTCAAGGTGTTTCCTCCTCAACCTGCTTATAAACTTTCGGAGAAAAATTATATGCACCACTTACATGTACATAAATATGCAAAATAAGCAAAATGCTTGTGAATTTTGATTATCTGTTCATTTGGATTCTCAAGGACACTCAGGAAGGTACTCTTCATCAAAATAGCAAGGCCAAAAGAAATGATTCCTAAAGTTGAACTACTTAGCAATATACTTGCAAGAATTTAAGCAGCGAGTTATTACTTCAGTAACTATGCAAATACCGAATGTCACAGATCCTTTCCCTACAACTATTAAAAGAATAAAATGCCCAGATTTGAAACAGTGTACTCTCAAGTAACTAATGGAAACACGTTAGAAATAAAAATCTCAGCTGTTTATTTCATACTACACACACGGTAAGAAATGGAACGCAGGAGTGGAAAATGTGAATGAAATGGCCTGTTCTTCCAATATGCGGGGGAGGAAAGGAAATGTGAGGTCTTCTTGAGAGAACAACTGGAAATACTAAAATTATTTTTCAAAAATTAATTTTCCTTAATTTCACCAGTCCGTATCTCCACTCCCTCCCTTTTGCAGAGACCCTTCACAACCCCTCCGGAGGGCGCCCTTCCCAGACGTTCTGTCTCCCCCTTTCCTAAAAATGTACCCCAAGCCCAAATCCCAGCCCCAGCCTAGATCGGCGCCGCCAGAGCCTCCCCGCCTGCACCGCCCGCTGGGCTGCGGCCGGGGACGGCGGGAGGGGACGCGGCGGCGCGGTGGCGGGGCCGCAGCCGAGCCAGGCATCCTTCCTCCTCCTCCAGCTCCTGGTCCTACTCCTGCTCCCGGGCCGCACGGCCGCCTAGCTCCATCCCCACCCTCTCCAAACTCGGCTTCAGGACGCCGCGCCGCGGCCGAGGGGACAGGCAGGGGACCCCGGGGGCCGCGCCGCGGCTCGCGCCGCACAGGAAGCGCCGCCGCCTCGGCCCCCCGCACGCCCGTCTCAAACTGTCACCGCGCCTCCCCTCCCCCGCCGCCGCGCCCGGCCCGTGTAGCCGGGTCCGCCACCCCCGCCCGATCCTGACCCACTCCCGCACCCGCCGAGCCCCCGGATCCACCGCCCCGTCGCTCCAAGCCGCCACGGCCCCGAGCTGAGGCTCACCCATGGTGCCGCCGTGGACGCTTCTCTCCTCAGCGGCGGCGGATCTCGCACTGACCGACATCCCCTCCCCCCGCCCGACCAGCCCCGGCGCAGCGCAGCCCGCCGATTCTCCAAAGCCGCCTACGCTGATTCCGCGGCGTAGCCGCCCGGCGTCGCTGCCCCGCTTACGCACGCGACGGCAGGCCGACGCCTGCGTTGGCTCTCGCCGGACTCCGAAGGGGCTTCCGGATGGAGCGCGGCAGCCGCAATATCGCGAGATTTTCTCGTCAGGGCCGCGCCGCGTCGCTCCATCTCAGGCATGACTTCATCGGCGTCGGCGCCGTTATGCTGCTCGAGGTTTTCCGCCATGTTTAAATTGATTACATTTGGCACTTCCGCGGTCATGGATAATCCAGCCTCTCTGTAGGCTTCTTCAGCGATTCCTCTAGGGTCAAGGCGCATTATGTTTGTGAGTGAAGTTCAACGGCGCCGAGAAGGAGCGTTCCTCCTAGAGGTGGAGGGTGCGGTCTTGCCTGCATTAAAGATGGCCGCTGACTGGGCCTCCCGCAGTAAAGATGGCCGCCGTTGGGCTACCCGCGTAGCCAGCGTCAGGTTTCGGAGCTGGGGACCAGCCCTGTTGGCCTCAGCTCTCCCTACGGAATTAGCGTAAAACAAAAAGGCGCCGCGGAAGGAGCCTGGCTGGGAAGCTGACCTCAGACTGGAACTGCATCCGCCCCTCTGTTCCTAGCGACTGACTTGACGTCGTTGTGAGTGAAAGTGACCAGACACTTCGAGGCAAGTGTGTGTGCCATTATCCGTCTCGACTCCTTAACTTTGTGGTTATAAAGTGAAATTGGGTCCTGGATGTGCCAGGCTTCCATTTGCTGACCCTGTTTGGTGGACGGTGGCAACCTGTAGCCTCTTTCACTGTAATCACCTGGACCTTTGGAAATGGATTCCCGCGAGGCTGGCAGGGCCCGAGTAGCCCGGGCAGCGTGGGTGGCAGCAGCCCGCTATCCCCGAGTCCCCCCAGGCCTCAGCGACGCACAGACCAGCCTTATCCTTGGTGCCCTTCTGAAAGCCCAATAGCTGTCCTTGCAAAAATCATGCACACTTGTGACTTCTATTAAACTGCATGCTGAGGAATTTTATGTACATACACATAAAAAGTTATCAAGGTCACGCACAAGTACATTCATGGCACACAGTTCATATTAATGAAGCAGTAAATGTCCAGTGATAGAATGGGTGAGTTACACTGTTAGAAAAATTGACAGACAGAAAACCAAACAATGAAAATCAATGAATGAAAACTACTGGTATAGAGGTGCAACCCTATCATAAACTACAATTTTAAAAAGTCTTAAGATCAAACCCTAAAAGTTATATGAAGAAATGTCATATCAAATTCAAGATAAGTTATTTCCACACAAAAGGAAGGGTTCCCTTAACAGGAAGGGTTCAGTTGTATTTATAGTATTTTATTTTCTACCAAAAGTAAATGTGCAGAAAGTGTAGCAGGCAAGATAATTGAGATTATTTTTTTTTTCTTCTTTTGTGACTAGTTTATTTAACTTAGCATAATGTTATCAAGATTCATCCATGTTGTACCTCAGAATATCCTTCCAGGTCTGAATAATCTATTGTACATATATATCGCATTTTGTTTATCCATTTATCTGTCAATGAACATTGGATTATTTCTACCTTTATTTATTTATTTATTTATTTTAATATATTTATTTTTTGATTGAGAAATAAATATGAATGAGACAGTTTCACAGCTGATTAATAGGACAGTTTTGATAGTCAATACACTGTACATTGTTATCTTCTTAGTGGTTATACATAGTACAAGAAGCAGACAGGATATTCTGTCCAAACACTGTTAGTACACCTCTTTCTTCTCATTAAGTGAAAATAGCTGTAAATTTATCCTATTTTGTATATATAAATATAAAATTATCTTTTGTATCTTTTTTTAATTTTAATTTTTTTTTGTCCCTTCAGAGGTGAATATTCTATTGGCATCTAAATACTATAGGTGTTTGAATTCAACTAAACAATCTAACAGTGTCTAGCAGTCTATAATATTAGTGAGGATATCTATAATATCCTCAGAAATTACTGACTTGAGCCTTTTACAGCTCATCGTATTAATATGGATTTACTTTATATATCTCGTTTTTATATACTTTTCTGCTGGATGGTTAAGACCAAGATATAGCAAGACCTATATACCAAGAAATGTAACTTTTGTATCTGATAAGGTCAGCCAAGTACTCTCAGGATTTATCCTGTAGCCCTGTACCGCCTTTTGTACATCCTTTTGTCAGTGTCTGACATGAGGATGAGTCACGGCCATTGTTTGACCAATTAGCTGTCTGTCAAAGCTTGAGAAAATGTTTTTTCTCTCCATGTGACTCTCCCCAGGCTCACTTTAGATCATCGAACACATTTCTCTGTGGCTCCATAATCTTCTTGATCAGAAAATGTGGAGCACAACTGAGTTACATGTTGTTACAGTACAGGTTCTCCTATGTCCCGACTCTTCTCTGACCTTGAAAGGCTAGGGACAAAATATTGGCTAACCATGCAGCCCTTTTCTCCAATTTTGATGAGATTCTTAAAAATTACATAGAAGGGTGCATGGGTCTTCCATTTTATTGTCTGTACTGTTCTGTGCACTTGAGATATTTCCAAGTAATTTTTTTAAGAAAGGAAAATTTTAGATAAGGGAACAATTTATTTTTTGATCTGATGTATGTATGCTTTTTCATAAGTGTGCGTTTTCACTAATTTTCCTAAAGTCTTAAAATGTACCTGTCCAACCAAAGATTGTGTTAAATTTCTAAAACTCAAGATGAGCCTCTTACTTTGGGAAATTCATTAAATCATGTTTCCGAATAAGGCAGTGTCCAGTAGTCAAAGACTTGGATCTTTGAAAGGGTGGGAAGGCAATGTGTGGGAGACATGGGAGGCAGGGAAGAGGAAGGGGAAGTTAAAAGGATCAGCATGTGATGTGTACATGTACCAGTTTCTCCTGTGAAGTTATTTACTGTGTATAAAAACAACTTACTAATACAAATTTCGAGGAGAAAAGGGACAGTGGGAGGGTGACTATATGGTCTCTAGAGTCAGACTCCTAGGTGTAAATCCTACCTCACCATTTAGTAGGCATGTGACCAAGGATAAGTTACTTAACCTTCTCTGACCAAGTTTCTTCAGCTATAAATGGGTATAATGTTTACATGATATTGTTTTTGTGAGAGCCCAGTAGACTTACATGTGCCCAGTACATCATAAATGCTTAGTATTACTTATTGATCAATTTAGAATATAAATTTAAGTGAGATACTATGATTGATAGAATCTAATTCTGTATGAAAGAAAACCTTTGTCTCCTGTATCAATTGACATGTTTAAGACATATCTCTGAATAGATATGACAGTGAATGTGTCCTTTTAGGCTCTGGGATGAATACATTTTTTATATAAATATGAAGAAGTACCTTGTGTGAGGTTTATTCATGCTCTCATACAAACTCTACCACACAATAATAACTTCACTATATCTGACAAAAATTACATGGAGGATTACAAGATGTCAAATAGTGATATCCTGTGGAAGTTTAATAGCCAATATTTATGTAAAAAGTGTGTGTTGTAAATTATATGTGGGGAATTGAAAAAGTGAGAGTGAGAGAATTGTGTGGTTTTTTTTTTTATCTGTTGTACTATCTACAGTATTGTATTTGTTAATAAAATATGGCCCAAACCTTAACTTTGTAATTTAGAAATGTGTTTCAAAAAAGAAAACTGATCTGAAATTCTGGACAGATCATGTTGATTATTTCCACTACATACTTGTTGTGCAAAGTTATCCTTCAGATTTACCAAGCAATTTTTGTTTATCTAGTTAGTCTTGTTTCCCATTTTCCACAGCCGGCACTTCAGATTTTCTCCATTGCATCATACCGCCTTGCTCCCTTATTTTCAGCAAAAAGTACAAGTCTTCCAAAAGGAATTTAACAACACCCTTCTTCCACACTCTTAAGCCTAGGTGTATGCCATGTCATGCCTGGTACAATGGTTTAGTTGTCCACTCCTCTGTCCTACTTCCTGTCATCATCTGACTCCCATACAACTGCTGATTCTTTGGATTCTGTCTCTTCCTGCCCTCCTGGAACTTCACTCTCTGGGTTATTTATTCCATAAGCTTTAGGATTCTTCCCCTACACTCTAGTGATGTTCACATCAAGAACACTAGCAACCACTTTTTCAATTGAATAGACCTGTATTTTTGGTTTTTGTTTGTTTTTAATTTTGAGATAAGGTCTCACTAAGAAACCCAGGCTGTGCTCAAACTTGGGATCCTCTTGCCTTAGCTTCCCAAGGTGCTGGTGTACCACCTAACGCTGCCCCTTTTCTAGTTCTCCAAGATTCCTACCTGCTTTATTTTGCCTCCCAGGACTGCTTATTGCCTGTCACTGGATAGCCATGTACCTCTCAAATGTGTCCTGGTCAGACAGTTCTATCTCAAATTTTTATATTCTCTTTTTTGTTCTCTTTGGCCTCAGAGACCATATATATACTAGTGACTTCTAAATGTAAGTTTCTAGTCAAGGTCTTTCTCCTGAAGAGAACTGGACATAGCTGACTGCCTTCCAAATATCCACCTGGATATCCTAAGCTATTTTTAAACAACATATCCAAAACTAAAATTCTCATTTTCATTTCACCTGTTTTTATATTTCCAGTTTCTGAATGGAATCATAATCAACCACTCACTCCATAACAGGAATGTGGGTTTTATACTCAGCTGCTCCCTCTATCACCTCTCATGGCCCATCAGGTGGGCCTGCCCAAACCCACCCACAATCTCCATTCCACTTTACCTTTGTTACCATCCCAGGTGGGCCAATACTGTCTTTCCTTTTGATGCATTTCTATCTGGTGCCTTGTGCTGGTAGAACTCATCTTTGCTTTATATCCAGAGGAAACTTTAAACTTTATGTCAGTCTGCTGTTTATAAAGTCTTCATGCTTTTTTTAGGAAACATATAATGTATTTTTCCTTATGTCTGGCCAACCTACCAGACCTTCTTCGCTCTGAGCTCTCTTTGCTGCACCTTTCATCTGTAATACCGCTCCTTCCTCTACTTACCATGTGTAGCTAGTTTCTTTTACCCATCATTTTCCCTAAGCCCCTTCTTTGGTCTCCCAAGACTGGGCTG